CTTAGTGTGGAGCAGGAATAAGCCCCCACCCCCAGCCAAAAGAGAGTAAAAGTGCGCAATAGCACTAACTCACATCACAACAACAACAAGAACAACAACATATATATATTTAAATCATTTAAATTTTTTAATGTTAAAGTGTTTTTTCTACAATATATCAATCAATCAATCCAGTACGTTCCCAGGGGAACATAGGTCCATATGTGGTTACAGTTGTACCTATCGCATTGATTCTGTTTGAACGAGAGTTTCGCACCTCCAAATCGTTCAATATGAGTACCGCGCTACGTTGTGGAATAGAGGTTTTTTCCACACGAGGGTGTTTTCCCCATTTATATGGAAGAAGAGAGGTCAATGAACATACCATCCAAAAAAATAGTTATCCAAAAGCTCCAATATTTCAATATTTGTTAGTCCATTAAAAATTAAACAAAACATATAATTAAAATATGTTTATTTAAATGTATACGCAAACTATATTAAAAGAATGGATATTCAATATAAATATAAATAAAATTGAATAAGGACTATTATCTCTATATAACATATGTCTACTATATATATCTTCTATATAATTATTATTACTCACACTTGATATTTTATTTAAAGCCATATATTTTTAAAACTTGGTTAATAATTGGTACATAATTCTTAATTAACACATAATATATAATTTAAAAGATTATATTGTCTTGTTTTTCATTGTTAGTCAAAAAACTATCACTACTCATTTTTATAATCATCCGTTTATAATGATTCGTACAATTATTAAACTTTTCGCCTAAGCCGACTATTGAACTCTATTCGAACTTTTCATATCTTCGAATCTAACCCTTATATTGTTTTTATTTTATTTATTTATTATTTATTGAATAATAATGCAAACATTTTAAAGTCAGTTAAAAATTCGAGTTTTGGAATTGAATTGGACTTTATTTAAGAAGTGTTGGAAAGGTTTATAAACTACAATTTAGTTTATATTTATAATTCCAAATAGAAAATCCTCTTTGTGTAAAATCAACTTTTCAATAGTGTATTGAAAGTAGTAAAACACTCCACACCTGATGTATTTTTTTGAGATATTGTTTTAAGTCTGTTAATATTAAAATTTTTTTTTGACTCCATACAACTCGTTAAACATTAGTTTATATCCCATCCCTAGTATATAACTGCAGGTGAGCTATTTCGAGGTATTAAATTCCTAACTATAAATATATTTATGAATACATTATCTTAACTTTAATTATTATTCCAAGATATTTCGATTTTCGATTAAACTCCTGTTATAGTTTTATTTGATACATTACGCCTTAGATATTAATGCAAACAATCCATTTTTTAGTAATTATTTGTAAATTGTTATATATAAGATATAGCAATTTAAAATATTTGTAGAGTTGTTAGTAAATTAATTTATAAATTAAAATTGTTGGTACCATAAAACCTTTTTCTATTCGAAAATTGATTTATTGTCGTAGAACAGAAAATTTGTGAATGACTATTAAAAATTATTAGTTCAGTTCTGTGAGATTGTACAAAAATCTATTAATATTTATATGATGTAACTTCATATACAGTATATAGCATAATTTTTATGACTCACAAATATCTGTATATTATAATTCATTTATTGCGTCATAATAAATAAACTTACCAATTTCAGCATAGTATCCGTAAGAGTATCTGCTCTATATTTAACACCAAAATAATTTTTAAAAATTCACAAAATAATTTCGTTATTTCGTTATTTCACACGTAAACAGTCTGTGTTGGTTTGCAAAATTTATAATAATTTAAAGTTTTTTTTTTTTTGTATAGAAGTTTTTTTATTAAAAGCCAACGTTGCTAAACCAATCTTTACCTGTTCGAAAAACAATTTCAAACTGAAATGGTAAAGTGCACTGCAAATTGTATCTAAACAAAAAATGAAGAAAAAATCTATTGTAGAAATAGAATTTTTTTAAACAAATTTTACACTTGCACGAGACTCTGCGAAACAACGTACTCAAAAGAAAATCAAGGCGTTGTACGCTTTTATACCAAAGTCCGTTCGCAAGCGGAAAATAACAACAGAGCTGAATTAAGTTCGGTTAAGAGCGATCAGCTGCGATATCTGGTAAACAAACCTGGCCACCAAACCATATTGTATGTGAGGCAATAGAGTTGCAGATACTGGAGCAAAAATTGGACTCGCTTTTGCTAGTTTGGTTCTGGCGTTGTAAAAACTGAGCTACTTTAGTTGCGCTTGCAAGTGTGCAATGCAAATACTGGGCGAAGTTACTTTGGAATGCAGTCAAGAAAAATTTCATCTGTATAGGAATTCAACAATTATACGCCCGCTTGAGGTACGAGTATCTAACTACAATTACAATTAATAAATTACATTATGCTGAAACGTATCAGTAAGCAATGGGTGTCCGCTTATGTATGTGTAGTGTTTATGTATAAAATCCAAATAAACGCGTCATTTTGCGATATTAAAATCATGATTTGTAGACATTTTCAAAACATTATTAAACTAAAAGCGGAGCACATTATGAGGAATGAGAAAGTGAAGCGTAAATATCTCAAATAGTTTCAATTAACGTTGATAGCATTGCATATTTAAATATATCAACTATAAACTACATATATAATAATAAATTTAATCGAATAAATTACACAATTTTGCTAAGTATCAAATAAAAATATTATATATTACCATAATTTACACAGGTGACAGGTTTTAATATTATAATTGATGTACACTCACAATTATAACATATTTACTACATGAAAGCATGCATAAAGTATCTGTAAAATTTTTACACTTCCGTGTAAACCACTATTTTGAAAGTACTTACGAAATATGTGAGATAAAGTCCTAACCGTCATACTGTAAACCTATTATGTCAGCTATTGAAAATCGCCTCAATTTTAAATGGAATAAAACAAATACTGGTTTAATAACTACGAAATTTGGTACTACAAAGTGCATTTAGTTCTTCATTGCACCAATTTAAGATTGCTAATAGTTCAATTTTTATGTTGAGACCAGTTGAGTCAGTGTACTTCAACACTTTTACTCTCTAATAACTGCGGCGTTCCTTCATAATCCCTCTCTACACTTTGACTGAATTATTGTTTATCACTTCATCAGCCCAAGCAATAACAGACCTCAGATCTGCATACCTCCCCGAGGAGCGTGTAACCATTTTCTACACTTTGACTGAATTATTGTTTATCACTTCATCAGCCCAAGCAATAACTGACCTCAGACCTGTATACCTCCCCGAGGAGCGTGTAACCATTCGAAGATTCGAAAACGCGTAAATAATTTCAGGGCTCTATCCTTTATGTATTTTTTGATCAGATCAAATTAAATTAAAAATAATAGATTTACTTCTCAACAAATTTAAAATTTATCTATGTTCATACGTGCATATAAACACAGTTATAAATTGGAATAATAAAGTCAATTATATTAACCACAGCAACAGCAGCTATGCTTTATTTTAGTTCTGAGCAAAATCGTTATATGTGTATACACTTGAGTATCTATAGATTTTTTATTGATTTATTTTAAATTGTATTTTTCTAGTTTCAAATTAACAATTTATATTCAAAATTTAAAGCACTAAACATAAACACTTAAAAAAAATTAATTTTTATCCAATAAACATTAAACCACTTATCTTATAAACTTAAAGCAATTAGTAAGTTGAAAAAGTGAAAGTAAAAGTGAAATTAATACTAAATACTAAATACAAGTTACGATCAAATTTATACGAATTTAGGATATTAATAATAAGATCAAGCTGACATATTAAGACCAACTCCAAGTTCGATCAAATTTATATGAATTTAGGATATAATTAATAAAATCAAATTGACATATTATGGAAACTATTGTTTCAGGACCGTAAGTTATCAATGATGAAGTTTATTATAACGTAGAAAATACTTTGCACCACAACTCAGTTGGTCTATTATGCTACGGAATGACAGCGTATTTTATTTTTTGACAATATATGTGTATATGTATTACATGTATCTTCAACTTTCGGGAGAGATATCAATCACGTTTGATGTTTATAACTCCTGATATATACCGGCAATAGATGAGATAATACACATCATAGTCAAATTTATTTATAACAGTTTAAGAAAATAAAAATAAACTTAAATTTAGGTAAGGACTTAGAAAAAAAATGGCCCTTTCAATTTCCAATTACTTACTTAGTTAGCCATTACAGATGTGAGCCGTCCTTGACCGTTCCGAGTAGCCTCCGCCGGCCAGCCTGATTTGTTGCTTGCTGTCGCCAGTTGATAGTACCGAGCGCTCCTAAAACGTTGGTCACCTGATCCTTCCACCGAAATTGGCCATTACAGATGTGAGCCGTCCTTCACCGCTCCGAGTAGCCTCCGCCGGCTAGCTAGATTTGTTGCCTGCTGTCGCCAATTGGTAGTACCGAGCGCCCCTTAAACATTGGTCACCTGGTCCTTCCACCAAAGAAACGGACGTCGGCTACCGCGTTTTCCACCTGTGGGTATCGAATTAAACAGCTTACTAGCCGGATGACTTTCTTCCATTGCAATTTCCAATTACTTACATTATTTGCGTTAGATCCTTCCAGTTGGATCTATGTAATAGTACTCTTGTTGTGAAGAAAAAGAGAAAAGCAAAAAGTATTTATTACAATTCAAGTTTATTATTTACAGTTCAAGAATGATAAGTTTTGTTAGAACTTTCTGCAACAGTATCGGTCCAAAAAATTTAGTAGAGTCTAAGGAAGATCGCTGTGAGTTATGTGTTTCTCTATTAAAATGTAGTGTATGAAAATTGTTATATTGATCATCTTTTATATAGACAAATTAAATGTTTGGTTATTGTTGAAATTAAAATAATATACAATATAGTACAATATATTTAATATTTAGGAATATTATTAGTATAATGCTAATATTAAATTAAATTTTTATTGTGATATATATATTAATCACATGATTGTATTATTTTCACTTCAACAAATGATAATAATAGTACGTATTATTAAAACTGAAGAATAATAACAGAGGTCATTAGGATCGAGATCGTTGTTTTGATTTAACTTTTTTCAGTAGTTCCTCCACATCTACAGATAATTTTTTAATAACATCTTCGAGTAAGTCTATACGATTTGCTAAACTAAACAAATATATAATACTATAGTATGTATATGTATATAACTTTAATATATTTTGTACTTAATAATTTTTCGTCTTTCTTCATCCCTTATATAATTTTCAAAATACCTAAAAGAAAATATTACCATTTTAAATATTTTATACAAAAATTCTGAATTAATCTTACTCTCTTACAACAAAACTTTCAGTCATATTCGACGGTTCATTAGTTGGTTGATGGGTTGTATTCTGATCCACCGATGTGGGTTTTGGTTCAGCAACTACTTCAGTGGATTCATTCAATACTGTTGTTACTTCTTGTTGTCTCTTTCTGTTCGTTAACATTCTCTGTCTTAACTTTTTCATAGCATTAGACAGGTAAGTATTTAATTCTCTTGGTCCTGACTTAATATCATTTTTAATTGTATTATAAGTATCAAATATAATAGCCAAAAACATATTCTACAAAATATATATACAAATATCACAATCTAATGATTTCTAAAAACAAAAAAATTATCTTACCATTAGTATAAAATAAACCAGCGCTATATATGAAATGAAAAAAATTGGACCTAATGTAGGACTACCGTATTCCAAATTAGTATAATCGAAGGTACCCATCATAATGCTCATTAGTGTGCTTAAAGTATTCAGTAAAGTACTAAACTCT